TTCCCCCCCTCCTACCTACTCTTTTACTCCCTGGCGGCCGGTCTTCCCTTCCTGTGAAGGCTAGGGATTGTAGCCAGGAGACATGGCTGCCCTCGAAAACGATGCACTTAAGGAAGGGGAGAGAGGTCGATCGGTCTCCACTTAGACAGGACAACAAAAGACTAACCACTGACCTGTGAGTCTGGTGGAGTAACGACAATCGGTGATGCACGAGATGGTGCGTTCGCTTTTGAGAAAGAAGGGTCTGCGACCGCAATTTCATCCAGGGCCCTCCCAGAAACAGAAGTTCTCCCGCCTCCTTCCCCTGCATCAACAAAATGAGAAGCATATTTTCGAGTGATAAGACCTTGTCGGTCACCTTATCTTGAATAACGACGTTATGATCAGACGTTGAAATAAGGTATCTCGAGGCCACACTATATAGGAGTGGGTCCTTGCTTATGCAGAATTACCTGACCCCTAGGGACACCCTCACTTCCGATGCTTGGCGGCGAACTTTTCCTTCGCTGCCTTTGCTTGGACCGCCTCTTCAATATCCGAGAGATGCCACAACTCTTCGATCATCTTACTCGTCAGCACATGAGTAACCATCGTCTCGGCGATATACTGAAGAACCGAGAGAGTACAGCCGGTTAAAATCTCCTTGGCAACATTCATGCTCTCGGGGAGAGCCTCGGCTTGGGCACGCACACTGCCGCCTCGGTATAGATCCCTCAGGCACCTGAGCAGGAACCGACCAGAAACTTCTTCCGGTCCTTTATTTTATTCTCCACCCCAGCCACTTGAGTTCCTTGCCTACCGAAAACATGGTGAAGCCCTCCTTATCAGCCTTAAACGTGAAAAAATGCTTAAAGAGGTCAATCGACCATGAAATATGATTCCATTGACAAAAGAGGTCGAAAGTCATTATCGCGGCCACGGAGTTCGGCAACACTTATGTTGGAATAACCTCATATGTATTGAATACACTTTGGACCTCGTTGCACAGAGGTAACTGAAGGTCGTGCTTGAACTGGTCTCGGTAAAAGACTAGGTCCTTGCCCACAACGTCGGTTGCCCAAAGCAGCCCTAGTAGCTCCCAAAGGGTGACGTTGGCATGAAGAACGTACTTCCTTTCCAGTTCCTTCACCTCGTTTGTCGTCAAAAATGAAGATCGACACCCTTGACGTAGCCAAAGAGGGCTAGGGAATATTTTGGAAGCATCGCGGAACACAATAGATAGTTGAAAGACTAAAAGAAAAAATAAAAAAGAAACTGAAGGCACATAGAAGGAAAACATAACGCATAAAGAGGAAAGGAGCAGTCTCTTGCCCTATTTATAAAGCAAGCATGAAAAACGAGGAGTCCCTATTTATAACACGGGCGCGAAAAATGAGTCACATAGCGATAAGTGTGATACCAAACATCTCTTTGAATTTATTTAAAGACAATTTTATTGCCAGTAACATTATTACAGACCTCAAATAAAATGTTTTATGAGCGGGTCTTCCAAAGCCTCAGACGGGTCATACCTCATATGAGTCAATTTTTGGAGAACCGTCTCTCTGCCTATTCTAATTTGATCCACCCAGTTAGCTTTACGATGAAACTTGCCCACATCGATCGATTCACAGAGCGCTCTCAATTCGTCCTGCAAGATGGTGACCTCCGCCTACAAGACAACAATTTTCGAATCCATGATCGTCAGGCGAGGGGACAACTCCTACGCAGAATCCTTAGCCGAACCTCCGCTCGTTCCCGTAGAAGGACCTACTGGCTTTGCTAGTGATCCGGCCTCACCTACCCGCTGCTCCACAGCTCTAGGGGACGGCGGTCGCCATGCCAATCGACCCTGTTAAGGATTTACCACGATAAAAGAGTCAGGTGATTGATGCCCCAATGGAACATTAAGCGGCAAGAGCCTGGCGTACTTGGCCTAAAGACTGTCTACCACAGCGGGTCGGAACTCCGCGATGACCTTAGGGGGCCCGCCTTCCTCACGACCCTCCGACCCAGTCGACTCATCTGCATCCAAGACAATATTACAAAATCATTAAAAAGAAATAACTAATAATTGCCAAAGGGGAATTCTTGCATACCTAAAAATCAATCCATCTTGGAGATGACCTTAGAAATGTCATCTCTCCCTTGCGACGAAGTGTCTCCGTCCTTCTGAGATAGAGGCTGACGTGGTCTGATGATCTTCACTTCCTCCAGCTCCTTTTCTCCAATCGCAACCTTTGCATTAGTCGGGTCTCGCCGATCCTTAACGTCTGTGTTTGCATTAGACCTAGACACTAGGGTTTCTTGAGAAACGTTTTGGCGACTGTAGCTCAGCGCCATCAGACGAGCCGACCACGTTGATAAAGACAAGATCGGTTCGCAACCGTTTTTCTTTCTTCACAATTCTCTTCCTCTTTGCAAGAGGGGACCCAAAAGTCGGCCTTCGACAGCCTTTGAGGATCTACAACGATCTGGCTCGAACCATCAGCTATATTGCTCCTTGGTTAGGCAAGGGGAAGCTAACAACGAATGGTGCAAGGCTTGGCTCAAGTCTATTTATAGAGCGCACTTGGCACGGAACCCTAAGAGAGTCAATTGTTCAATCAATTCATGATTTGTATGTCAATAATTGTTTACTAGTTTTCCTGTCTTTATTGTAGCTTTCAAGAAGCAGAAAAACTCGGGGAACTGTTATGTACGCACCAAAACCGTCAGCATGAATCTCAAAAAAGTCAAGCAGCTCAGGACGATGACCGGACCACCAAGTCATCAGACTACAGGAATATGATCCCAGCCGATCATCCAAGGACTGATAGTTCGGTTGGAGTCGACCGACACACTGTGATGAGGGGCTCAGTCGGCAGATCACACCTATAGTCCCTGTTAGTTTTGAACTTCTCACGAGGGGCGCCGCCCAATCGCAATCCGCGTTCGGTTGGAGTCGACCGACACACTGTGATGAGGGACTCAGTCGGCAGATCACACCTATAGTCCCTGTTCGTTTCGAACTTCTCACGAGGGGCGTCGCCCAATCGCAATCCGTTGGCCGATCGCTTTTTTGCTTAGGCAGGCCCGATTGCCAATCAACCGGTCTCCTCGGCCTTTAGACCGAACTCAAGCGCGTCATCCAGTCGGTTGTTGTCATATTTGAATTCAAATTATAATATATATTTGGTATTAAATCATCACGATTAATTTACTTTAAAGACGGTTTCCGTAACCATTCCCTCTTTTCTATAACTGTGCAAATACATCCCTATAAATAGAGGGCAAAGAGGCGAATAAAATGAACTTTCCCGGCTTCTCTATGGAGACTTCCTCAATTACTCTCTCTCTCATCTTTGTTATCTCGACTCTAGCTCTCGAGATGTGTTTTCACACAGGACTATTTATGATTCAACAGTTACAAACAAGAGGGTTTGTGAATCTTCCATCTTTCCAAGATGATGGGAGGGAGAAAGGGATACATAAAGTCAACTTGCGCTAAACCTTTGTAATTTGTTCTTGGGGAGGGGTGCCAATTGCCACATCCGTATCTATATGTTCGAGAAAGAAAGGAGTCTAGAACTACAAATTGGAGCTGGTTTGCTTATTTGCATAGGGTGTACTTCAGAGGACTACTTCACTTAACAGTGAGTAAAATACCTTTTTCCTTTTTCTTTTTTCTTTTTTCTAGGTGGATTAGAGGCTTGGTACGGAAGAAAAATAACTATAACATTGTGGGGCTTATTGGTGAAACCTAAATTTGAAAGTCAGATAGACAGAGAGAGGTCTAAAGAAAGAGATGGATATAGAAGGTAGACTTTTGTTCTCAATTTTGTGTTTAAACTTGTTCTTGCATTACGAAGAGAGAGAATCTAAGAACCAAAAGAGAGTGCGCTGAGTTTGAGGCTAGCATCATCTATTAATATTACATGCTTATTTTAAAACTTAAATTTGGATTATATTGAACTGGGGGTAATGTTGCCTCTGCAGCATTCATCTTTCAACTTCATAAGCCATATCAGCTTTACAGGCAAATGAATGAAATGCAATGGTAGATACGAATAAGCTACTGCACTTTAAAGAAGCTCATTGTCACTCTTCTTGCAGCTCTCTTTCCAAATGTGGACCAATCAAATGGAAGAGACTCTCAACACTAAAAAGCAAGGAGACATAGCTTTCAGGGCAAAAGCTTTTGGAACCGCTATTGATAACTATACACAGGTTTTTGGCTAAACTCATATTAAATTTATTACAGCTAAGGTCCTGTAAGTACTGTAGCATGTTGAAACGGTAAAACATTTTTTATCACATCTGAATGTATGGTTTCGTGGTTCATATGTTGTCTTAAGTTTAAGATTTTGAAACCACTACTAATTTTATTTTTGCAAGAAAATTTCTCATCTGAGACTCGATTTGTCTTTAAAAGAGTGCTCTTCCTTGAGATCATGCAGTTCAATCTGAATGAAACAGTTTGTGATCATAACCATTTTGTTTTGTTTTTTATTTTTATTTTTTCCAATTTCATATTTCCTTCTAAATGCTTCATGTACTGAAATTCTGGTTCTCTAAAATGAAATTTACAAATCCAATTTAATTTTCTTATAGTTTATCGAATTTGGAATGATGATTTCACCAACTGTATATGTGCGGCGATGCATGTCCTATCTAATGAACGATATGCCTCAAGAAGCTCTGGAAGATGCCATGCAGGCGCAGGTAATATCACCTGAGTGGCATATCGCCTATTATCTCCAGGCTGCCTCTCTCTTTACTCTTGGAATGGATAATGAAGCTGAAGATTCCCTCAAAGTTGCAATTAATTTGGAAACAAAATGGAAAAACCGAAGCTAAAATACTATAGCTTTTAATGTTTGGTTTTGAATTCTTATTTGTTTATGCCTGGCATTTCTTCTTGTATTTATATATATATATATATATATATATAGAAATACATATCCCATTTTTTTGTCCAAATCTGAGTAGTCTTCTGCTGCAATGTAAGTAAATATCGAAGGAAATTAGGTTGATCGGCATTAGGAAAGTGAAAGGTATTCATGGATTTGCACTTATTTATTTTTGCTCTCAATTTTTTTAAGTTTGGTTAGACGTGCTAAAATATTATTTCTCAGAATAATGTGGAGTCTGGGATAAATCGATTTGATGACCGAGTAGATAGTTGTGCTTGTTCTTTAATTTGTCAATCAACATCCCATATGCTCTATTAGGGGGCAGAATAAAGGATCTTATCACAAGATGTAGACATAAATGACTTCGCACTTTGTTATCATTATACCTTTATGACATTCCACTTCGCCATGGGAGGATTGTTCTAACAATTTTGAAGGGCGGCCTTAACCTTCTAAGATGGCCTTCTTAGTCGTCTTAAGGTCATATAATTTTGACATTTTATGGGAGGATCAATCCAACAATCTTTATGACCTCTGTGATTGTTTTACACTGCCTTATCATCACCTTCAAGTTTTTATTTCTCTATTTATAGGAAGACCAATTTGGTCAACTTCTATAAACTCTGCGACTGTCGTTTCCAAGATAATCGAAATGGTCTCTTCTATTTTTCTCATCAACCTCATTGCATCTACAACACCATGCATGTTAGTAACATAACTAACTCAATTGTATTTTTTGTATGGCCTCCTCATTGCATCTACAACACCATGGATGTTAGCAACATCTCAAATTCAGTTGTATTTTTGTTATGCCTTCATGTTCCAGGAATGATGACACATGTTAAGCTCATATCAAAAATGCCAGATGGGGTTATTTCAACTATGTAAGGCCTCATGAGTTTTTTTCTTTCTAATTTTTCATTTTAAAAATCTCCTATCACTTTGCTAAGCCTAAATGTAAATTCATCATGGATAACACAACTAAATTCTCTAAATCAAAAGGAATTGTTTAGATTATAGATGCGCTACTATGATATGTTCAGAAAAAAAAAATAAATAAATAAATAAAAACGACGACTAAACAAGTGCAAAAATTACTCAAAAACACTTCTTCATAAAATAAAAACTTCTCATTTGATATCATGAAAGCTTTTAACATCACTCTTAAATATTTGGAATGAGAATAATAATTATGATGAATAAAAGGGCTAACTTTAACCATAATTATTTATCTCTAATTTCTCATGAAAATTTACACATATGCCACTAAATTCTTATGTATTTACCTATCTAAAACCTATACTTCAATTTTTTTTTCATATTGTACCTCAATATATAAATATACCATCTAATTAATGCATGAAAATATGTGCATAACTCTTTAAAACTCAAAATAATAATATGTTTGATGTGAAATAAAAATTTTGAAAAACAAAAAAAATAAAATAAAATTTAGGCATTCTAAATAGAAATACATGGTAATTCGGTAGTCTTAATTTAAAAAAATACTCAAAATATCTAAAATTTCGCCCACCAAAGTCTTTCATATCACATCAAAGTACAATTACTTTAACATGCATCAAACTAATTAATGTAAATCTGAGCGGTATGTATGTAAATCTGCCTTTTCTTTGCGACCCTTGAGTTAGCCATGCACTTTTACATGAAAAATAAAGCAAAGTGCAACTCATTCATCAATAAAAAATAAAATAAAATAAAATAAAGCAAAGTGCAACTCATTCATCAATAAAAAAAATAAAAATAATAAAAAAAAAAAGTTATAGAACCCATCAAACTAATTAATGTTGCAAAAAATAAAGACAACATATTTAAACATAATTAGTTGAAAAAAAATAAAGACAACAGATTTAAACATAAATAATCCTAAGTTTCTGTTTCCTGACCAATGACTTCACTGAAGAAAAAAAAAAAAATCAAATATTGCACAAACAAACATGAAAAACTATTTCACACTTGTTGCTGACCAGAACCGAGCAGCTGCCCCACTAAGTTGGTCACCTGTAATCAAAACATAAAACACATCAGAGGAAAAGAAATTTCATAATAAAGGCCAGCTAATATCAGAAACTTGCCTGCCAATATTTGGAAACACAGCGATCAATGCAGCTGTTCTCACCCATGTTGAGCTCAGACTCCTTATACCTGAGGAAATTAAAACGATAAAATATCATAAAGTTTTTATTCTTTTAATGATCGCCTCTAAGATTATAATTTCCCAAGTCAAAAGCAAAAATCATGTATGAAAGCATCACAATTAAAATATGGACTCAATATTGATCAATGATGTAATCCAAGTATAATTAAAAACTATGTGATAACTACATAATAACTTCTAAGATTGATCAATGCACCATCAAATTTATTGCTTAAGGTATAAATCAATTTGAAACCTGAACACGGGGATCACCAAGGGCGGGTGTACAACATTAATTTTCAACAGTCGACGTGTAGCCATAATGGAAGTATTAAGACATCTAATTTCAAAAATAAGGCAACCCATCAAATGCATTTCATAAAGTCGAAGAGATCATAGGGCTCAATAGTCTTTATAATATGATCATAACAGCATTGAAAACATCCCATTTTCAATATTGGGCCATCTAGAATAAAACGATGTCACCATGTTGCTAAAATACAAATCTGAAGTTTAACTAAAATAATAGCACATTGCTCCTTCTAGTTTTCCCCATCCAACCTTTTGTGCCAATCTCGGGTGGCCCAACTCCCATTATGCTACTAGAGGGAAACAAAGAAGTCATTGAATTGATGCTTGGAGTTCTAGCTACTTGGGTTTGGTTTCCCTGATATAACCTTCTTCGACTCTAGGTAACCTAGCAAACACCCCACCCACCCCCCCCCCCCCCCCCCCACACACAAAAAAATATCCTCATTAGGAGACCACAAATAAATGTTAAGAAAAATATTGGGTTTGCATAGGCAAGTGTTGTCTATCTAAAATTTGGGCTGTCCAAAATAATTTGGGATCACATCAAGATTCCAAATATGTTATTAAAGAAACTAAACTTAAATTCAATTAATAACAGGGATTCTTATATATATATATAGCAAATATGCAAACAGGTCAGTTTGAACCGTTTTGACAATCCAAATATGCTCCTACCACTGTTTAGATTTGCGTAATCTAAGGGGCGCCTTGAGGCTTGCCTCCACAAAATTCCAAAAGAAAACTCTGAGGTGTATTTTTCAAGCAGCTCGGGTGAGGCGTACAACTTACATTGGTTGAGGCGCACCTCACTTAACTTTTGTTTAGACGTGTGCCACTTGCACTTGAATTTTTTCCCCAATATTAAATGGTTCAAATACGAGCTGAAGATGCACTCTCATGTACTAAAGCTCCCCTCCCAACAACACTTCCTACCGCTTCTGTCGTCGGCGTTGAGGCGCACCTCACTTAACTTTTGTTTAGACGTGTGTGCCACTTGCACTTGCATTTTTCCCCCACTATTAAATGGTTCAAATACGACTTGAAGATGCACTCTCATGTACTAAAGCTCCCCTCTCCCAACAACGCTGCCTACCGCTTCTGTCGTCGGCGTCGTTGTTGCCACTATTACTACCTCCGCTGCCACCGCCTCCTACTTTGAGGCAAGCATCGTTGTCCCCACCTGTTGCTTCTACTACAGCAACCGTCGTTGCATCCTCTAACGTAGCCACCTGCTGCTCCTGTTACAACCACTGTCGCTGCCTCCTGCTACTCCTGTTGTCGCTGCTTGTTGCTCTAGCTTTGAATATTAATTATATTTTTATTTAGATCTATGGATACTATTATATTGGTTGGATAACACAAGTGAGAGATGTCTATTATGATAAACTCATTTTATGTCTTACTTTAATATTTTATGTTACTTTCATTTCATATTTTATGCTAATTTGATGCCTTGGTTAGTTGATGTATATATCATTTTTTTATTTCGTACAAGTTGTTACAATATGTTTTTAAGCTTACAACAATTTGTTACAATTTGTCTTTTTTTATTGTGTCAGGATGCTAATATATTTCTTTAATATATCTATAAGTTATGATGTTGACATATTATTTTTTACCACTTTATTTTAACTTACACAATTTTCAAAATATGAGGCTTACGTTTCATACAACTTCGAGATTTACACTGGCCTTACGAACGAAAAACGCCTCAATACCTAATTGGAAAATTTAAACATTGATTTACACACAATCCAATTTGTGAAATGAAATCCCCTTCAAAAATTATAGGTAACACTTTTTTTTTAAAAAATATCTGCATATATTTAACATTTTTATATTAAAATTATAACAAAAAAAATATCTTTAAAGCGTCAATGCCAGTTTTAAACCCAAAGGAAAAATGTTGAGGATTTTTTTGAAATTGTCAGTTTGCTCCCCCACTAAAAAAATATTTTTGGCTCTGCCCTGGCCCCTGAGAATGAATAAACCTCTTAAACATTAGTACAGCATGCAAATCTATTTGGAAATTTTAAGTCCATAAAATATAGTATATGATTTTGAGCTTTACAATCACACTAACTGTATAATGTAAAAATGCCCAAAAGTTGGATTTTGTTTCAACTTTCAAGCAATCATTTATAATTAAATGAAAATATGACACCCAATAGGACACAATGGAGAAAAAGAATACATGTAACCGACCCCACTTAGTAGGACAAAGGCTTCTTGTTATTGATGTTTCAACCAACAATTTGAAATATTAGAATAAATTATAAAAATGCATAGAATTTGGTATATACCCTATTTTTGGATAATGCAAGTGAATTATCTCATCGTCATCATCATCATCATCATCATCATCATCATTTTTTTAGTCTTATCCCACTTATTTGGGTTTATATGTATGAATCCTCACTTTTCATTTGTTGTTCTAAGTGCTTTCTAAAATACACTTCCTATTCATTTCTCTTCATGATCCCCTAGTAATAATTGTATCTACTCGTCTAATGTGATTATTTTTTTACCTATTCTTTTACAAATCACCCAAGTCTATTTTCAACTCTCATTACTTCAATAGACATTACTCTAATCATTCTTTACTTTATCCTCTCAACTTTGCCAAAATTTCTATATTTAAATTATTGTTACGCTCAACTTAGTTATCAATGACCATTTTATTGCTCAAAATTCTTGATTCATACAGCTTATTCAGACTAATTGTAACTTTATCAAATTTAACTTTAAGAATCCATGAAATGCTAAGACAGATCTTCATTTTAACCATCATATCATAACTCTATATTTTGTCTTCACTTTATATAATTCTATATATTAATCCAAGATACCTAAACCTATCCCATATATTATTTTATCTTCTAAAAATATTAACTAATAATTATTTATATTACATGAAAAAAAGTAAATACCACATAAAGTACGTACCAAATGCTAAATGTTCATTCTACAAATTCCATGCACACTATCCTCTAAATATCTTCTCCATTATTATAATACTTACTTTAATAGATGTTTCAATGATTAGAACAATTCAAGTGAATAATTGTAAAAGTAAAATTCCAACTACTCTCAGGCACAAAACAAATATATTAGGCCAAAACTGGTAAACTATAAAAAACATACCTTTTTTCAATGCACTTATTGAAACATGTATGAGTGAGCCTGCATTAAACAGCAAGAAATAATCAATCAAAGTAGCTTCATGATGGCATTTATTAGATGCACAATTCTATCACATAAAATGTAACCATTAAGTTTCCTATAGAAATACTTCAAAGAATGGGGATCAACTATATGGGATAAAATATAGTAAAAAAATGGCTTTCAGAGTAGAGCACGACATACAGGTCATTTAGCAAGAGTAATTTTAAGCCCGTATTGGGAATATGAAGTGATAAGATGAATGTTAAAGAAGGATAATATAGAGGCATGATTGGGAATCACTTTCTTAAAAACATGGTAGAAGAAAGTACAATAATTACAAAATTGTGCTTAGGACAATAAATGTTGAAACTAGGAATACCAAATTCTGAATTCTTTATAGTCCATGCTAAAAATCCAATATACAAATGCATAATTGTGGAAAAAATAAGATAAAATGAATTCAGAGTCATTTTCAGACCCTAATACTGTATAGCAGATAGGGTATATATGCAGCTATAATAAATTGAATATAGATCACTATAACCAAGAATCCACTAGGGATGACAAGTACATAAAGTCAACATTGAATTTTACCAAATTATGAGTGCATACATCTATTAACTTTTCCTTTTCTAGAACAAGAAGCACCTGGTTAAATAATGGTACAAACAAATAAAGACAACTTATTGCACAAATATCTAATAATGTGTGTTAATCGTGATCAGATAATAGGCGTAATAAGGGCTATGGTATGATTAGCAAATCCTAAACATTATGAAAAAGTGGGATGAGAAGAATTCAAAACTCGCCAAAAAAAAAATGCCAATTGATTGGCTACAATTTGAAACTTATTTGCGAGAATTTACTACCTGGTTAAATAATGTTACAAACAGATAAAGACAATTTAATGCACAAATAACTAATAATATGTGTTAATTGTGAACAAATAATGGGCGTAATAAGAGTTATGGTATGTGATTAGCAAATCCTAAAGATTTATGAATAAGTGGCATGAGAAGAATTCAAAACTTGCCAAAAAAAAACCCAAATGATTGGCTGCATTTTGAAACTTATTTGCAAGCATTTAGTATCTTGTTACATTTCCACACAGACGAATCCATGAAGTTTTTAATGAATATTCGCATAATTTTGGAGAATCATAACAGTTTACTACCTATTGGAATAAGTGCTCTTTTTATAGAATGTGAGACAGCTTGCCTAAGTAACAAGTACCACATAATCACTCTCAATTTCGGGGCTTATTTACAAAATGCTGGCATTGCTGAGGCAGGTTAATTCGTTTTAGTCAAGTATTTAGAAATCAAGCCAAGCCATATATTATGCCATCTTAAGAGGTCCTAGAATCTTAGAAATATCACATCAACATTTTGAAAAAATCAACAAAAAAAATAATTTCATTAATCAAAAGATGAGCCCTTACTTTCAAATAAGCCTCAAAAACACAATATTATTTTGCTTTTCAATTTTAGTGGTGTTGTTAGCAACATATATATGACCATGAAAATAACAAAATCAATGAGAAAATAAATGCCCAACACGATAAAGTAGAAAACATGATATTAGCAAATACAAGACTTGCAGTCTCGTAGGTTCTCATTATGCTCCATTGGAAGTTCATTTCAAAGAAAACAAACTTTTCAATAACTTGTGGTACTTTAAAGTCTTCTCTTATCTATCAAATAAGATATGGAGATTAGAGAGTGAAATCAATTGTCAATGGCCAAGCATTGCACAAATGTTAAACCAGAAAAGGCTGGAGCATTAATTAATCGTAATCAGAAATATAACTTAGACGAAATCAATCTCAAGAAGATATAAGGCAGTACAAGTCAATGAAAGTAACTAAATAACCTTATCCCTCAAATTCTTCATCAGTAACTTCCGCCAAACAAGATAAAGAAAGACTCAACAAGCCAAATGATGAATTTCATCCACTTGGCACTAATCCCACAAAGCAGGCAAGCTAAGATTATTTCAGATGGGTAGGTTCCGGAAATAGGACATGTTGAAGGGCCATCAAATATAGATAAGCCGGCGAAAGAGCTAGAAAAGAAAAATTAGATGAACCGATTCATTTCTTAGACAATACTTCCATTACGAATTAAAATGCCACAAAAAAAAAAAAAAAAAAAATCACAAATTGCTCCCTTCGCATCAATTGACAATCCCAAAATGATCAAACAGAGAATAGCTAGAAGCAATTTTTGTATTTGTAATTATAATTATTTATTTATTTTATCTTTCTATGTAGCTTTGATGAACAATTTAAATTTTCCTAGACTCTTATTTTTCTACATGGCATCAGAGCCACTAATCTTTCATTTTAAAGGGTAAAGAAAATGTAAAAGACAATTTGTTCGAGAATTACCAACCTCAATCGTAAATGCAACTTCTTACCTATCTTCGTATTTGGTACCGAAATTTAAAGATGAACATCTTCATCTCAAATTCTAAATGGTGAAAAATTAGAGCATGGGGTTCGATCCTAGAAATCCTTATTCAAAAAAAAAAAAAGGAACTCTTCTTGTATTTGTGAACCCTTTTGTATCATCACCCATATAGTACGACAATCCCATTGAACTTAAAAGCATATTTGAATCACCAATTCTTAATAAATGTGATAACCAATCCCTAATGAAGTTTAAAAAAGAGAAAAAAGCATCCTTCAAAGAAAGAGAAGGAAGAGTGCAGGAGGTTGATTTAAACTAGCACCAACAAGCACTGAGATCCCATTTAAACAGAAGGAATTCAGAAATAACTGGCAAAAAATATAACAAGAAGTAGAAGTTAATAAGTGAACATCTTACTTGTTAAATAGCTCTACCCTGTATTCCATCTCTTTCTCCGCCATCCCAAAAATCTGCACGGTAGAGAATAAATTGCCTTAGCATTTTACAGAAAACACGTATATATCATGAAGAATCAAATCACGCCATTAATGATGAAATCAGAAATTGCTACGTACAAAACAAAAGCATAAGATCTACAATAGGTAGCGGAAAGATAACAATTTGTAAGCAATTTATATATAAGCAAATGAAATCGACAGAACACCTTCAAGTCAATCAACGCAATGAACCCCGATTATATCCTTCAAAAACTCAGAACTTTCATAATTTTAGCATCAAAACTCTCCACACTCCATGGGGTGAGGTAAAAAAAAAAAAAAAAAAAATCCATAGTTTATAATTTTTAGATTTTTTACTTCAATGAACCACTGTCTTTAATGACATATAGGCAAGGAAGAGAAGCAAACCTGTTCTTTTTCCATACTAGACGGGGGCTTGGCAGCCATGAGAAGAGCTCCGGAGATAACCTAATGCCGCAGCGGAGAAGAGCGGCGGAAATAGAGAAAAACTTGAGCTTTGTCAAAAGCAAATTTCTCAGGACTTTCGTTTGCGGGTCTGCGGCTTGGGGTTAGCACTTTGCAATAAATCCGACACGAGAACTTCGATTCAATCCGAAAATTATTGGGTACTCCGATCACAGCCGCACGTAACCTCCCTTTAATTTTTTTATGTGCGGCTTTAATTTTTTTATGTGCGGCTATGATGATTTCCATGCACAATAATTTTCCGATTCAATCAGAACCGTGAATTTTTAGGGTTGTATGGTTGGTGAAAATATTAGTGTGGTATATTTAAGGGTGGATCAGTGGTTTTTGTGGCCATCTCTGTAGTGGTATTATGATGACTATAGCAATATCATCTTAATGCCACGATATAGTAATTGCACGTATGGTTGTCTTTTAATAGGATTGACTACTGAATTTAAAGGAAAATTTATATACATGCCACATAATTCTTATATATTGACATGTAACAGCTTGATACGTGCTAAAAATTTTACTGTGATAGAGTAATGGATTATCATCTTAGTGTTGCACAAGAATTCAACACACAATTAGGTAAATAAAAATATCTAGTAGTGACACCAAAAAATTTTACATGGAAAACTCGTAAAAGGAAAAAACCCACGGGGTCTGGTCAAAATGTAAAAATTTACTATAGATTGATGATTACAAAGACCCCTTGTCGCACATACGCGCAAATGGTTACTATGTTTTCAAGTTACAATGTTGAATAACGGCTTCTGGTATGTGGTGGTCGACTGTGATTGATGGTGATCGACGATGGTCAACAGTCGACGACGATCGATGGTGATTGACAACTACAATAGTGCTCGACAGTGGTCCGCAGTGGTTAACAACGCTCGATAGGTGTCGACGAAGGTCGACAGTGATCGAAGAAGGTTGACAGTGGTTGATGGTGGTTTGCAGTGGTCGACGGTGGCCAGAGGCGATTGACGGTGACAAGGGTAGTGTTGGACTTGTAATCATTTTCAATGCTTTAAGTTTTTTCTCAATCCTATAGCCTCCTCTCACGAGAGAGACGAGACTCTATTTATAGTGTTCTTGGTGCATGAATGCAAGACTATGAACCAGTTTGATCAGACGGTTCAAATGACGTCCTTTGATCAGGCGGCGTTTGATGAACATTTAGTGCCAGAAGGATGTTGGAATTGAGCAATCTTGGGCTCGTTCAATTTGTCTTGTCGAGACACTCTATTCAATTATAGACTTGCTATATTTTGAATTTTTTTAACCTTCTAAATATATATGGAAAATTTTTGAAAGTGATTTAATGACTTGGCCTGAGCTTGATTTAACTCAGATTGAACTAATTTTGGTAATATTGGGTTAGTTTTATCGAGTTGGTCAGTTTGACTATAAGTTTGTTGAAATCGGAGTTGTGGGTGAGTTTTTATCGAGATTTGAATATTTTTTACTCAAAAAGTCGCCTCGAGATTTATATCATGCCCCGACATTAGTATCGGATGATGAAGATTTATTGGAGATGTATGAGTTGCTCCCTTAATTTCGGGTGAGTTCACTTTGTCAACCGTAAATATCAAGATCTAAAGTCTTTTCCTTTTCGCCGTGTATATAAGTGCATATGAGTGTATATTATAATGCTTTAAGAATTTATTTAAACCTATATATTGTAAGCAAATTAGGGGTTTTTTTCTTCAGGTGACAAATGCCGAGTTCAATCCCTACGTGGGACAAAAAATTAAGATATTTTTTTCTTAAAGCGGGCCTGAAGGTGAAGAGACGGGCGCACGAGGGGTTTAAGAATTTGAAATGTTGAATTTGGATCGGACTTAGCTGAAAAGAGGAATTCGAGCAGATTTTGAGAGCTCAGATGATGAAATTTGAGTGTGTGTGTGTGCATCTGGAATTATTTTTTAAATTGTTATTTTGAAAGGTTTTGGGAGGCTAAAATGTGGAAATTTCAGAAGGTTTTTTTTTTTTTTTGCAATAAAGAAGGCGGAAGATAAAATTATAAAAGAATTTAAGTGAATTTCAATTTTTTTCTTTTTTATAACACATTTATCAGACGTTATAGCCTAAACCCTAAAACATAAAAATTAATGAGGAATTATGACTTCTTAATCTCTTTTATATAAAGCGGAATACCAAATGCTAAAAGACGAAAAGCCAAAAGATGGAAGGCGGAAGGCCTGACGACAAAAGAATTATGGCAGATTTCAGTTTTTGTTTATAACACATATTTATCAAACGTTATAGTCTCATAAGTATTACTATAAAAATTAATGAGTAATTCAGATTTTTTAAATTTTTTTTTATATAAGGTGAAATACTAAAGGCTGGAAGGTTGAAAACCAAATGATGAAAGACGGAAGACCAAACGACAAGAGAATTATGACAGATTTCAGATTTTTTATAACACTTATTTATAAAATGTTACAGTCTCTTAAGTATAAATATAAAAATTAATGAGGAATTTGACTTTTCAATTTTTTTTTTATATAAGGTAGAATATCAAAGTTTAGAAGACGGAAAGCCAAAGAATAGAAGACAAAAAACCAAACAACAAGAGAATTATAACATATTTAAGTTTTTTTTTAATTCAGTTGATTTTAATGTTATGAATCATCTCATTCCCATAAATAGAGGCCAAGGAGAGGAGAAAGAAAGTTGATCTCTATCCCTGCCTAACAAGTGATTTGGGATTTCTCAAAAGAAGAACGTCGTCCCCATCATGCGTAGCAAGCTAGTAACAGAATCTTCGTGTTTTAACCAAGAGGAAAGTCCTCTTCGTCTTACGTAGCTGGTGAGCAGAGAGATCTTATTTCATACTGCGGCAAAGAGGAAAGTCTCCATCATACGTAGCAGGTACACAATGAGATCTTTTTTCTTGTTGCGACCAAGAGGAAAGTTGTCTTTGTCCTACATAGAAGACGAGTAATGTGATCTTCTTTCACGTTGCAGTGAAGAAGAAAGTCGTCGACGTCAAGCGTAGCAGGCGAGAAACATGATTTGCTTTCAATTTGTGGCGAAGAAGAAAGTCATCGACGACCAGTATCGCAGGCGAGCAACGGGATCTTCTTTCTCGTTATAGTGAAGAGGAAAGTCGTCCCCGTCTTGCATAGCAACCGAACAATGAAATCTTCTTTCTTGTTGTGGCAAAGAGGAAATTCGTCCACGTTCTGCGTAGCAGGCAAGCAAAGGAATCTTATTTCTTGTTATGGTAAAGAGGAAAGTCATTCTCGTCCTGCGTAGCAAGCGAGCAATCGGATCTTCTTTCTTGTTGAGGTGAAGAGGAAAGTCGTCCCCATCCTACGTAACAGCCGAGCAACATGATCTTCTTTCACCTTTCGGTGCAATAGAAAGTCGTTCTAATCCTGCATAGCAGGCGAGCAAGGAGATTTTTTTTAACGTTGCAATGCAGCAGAAAGTCGTCCCTGTCCTGCACAGCAGGCGAGCGACATGATCTTCTTTTGCATCAATGCGATGAAGAAATTTATCTTCGTCCCTGCCTAGCAGGTGACTCGGGATCTTCTTGCTTATTCTTGTTGCGTATTTTGGTGGAGATGAAGAAATGCTAGAGTTTTCTCGCCGCGCTTTGAGAAGGAGAATTTCATGCTTCTACAGCGACAATATCTCTTATAGCCTTTGTATCAACTCTTGTTGGTCTGCATAACCTTTGTAATCGTCTGATGTGACATTTATATATAATAATTTATTTTTTTGTACGTCTTTGACGTTGCTTCTGAGGCTGCTGTTGCTTCTCAACCATATGAAATTATGCAATTAAAATTAGCACACACACTATAAAATGAAGAATCACATACCTTTTAAGGCTCGTGCTTTCTGAGTTTGTGCCTTCTCGGGCTTATAAGAGCTTGAAATGAACTGATACTTTCTAAGGCCTTTTGAGGTTTTTTATGTACCTGTGTTTTTTGATGTTTGTAGTTTTATGATGTCTTTAATGTACCTGTGCCTTCTGAGGCTTTTAGCTTTTTGAGATCCTTAATGCACTTGTAACTTCTAAGGCTTGTATCCTTCTAAGATCTTTGATGTTCATATGTCTTCTGAGGCTTGTAGCCTTTTGAGGTATTTGATATATCTATGTCTTTTAAGGCTTGTAGCCTTCTGAGGTCTTTCAGTGGAGACTTTGTCAACCATTTGCTCTTGTGGATTCTTTCTAGTGAAGAATCTGTCCACTATTAGCTTCCCATCGAAACTTCTCTCTTTGGCTCGTCTTCTAGGGGCATGATAGCTTCTCATAGAGTCTTGCCTCTTGGGCTTGACTTTTAGGACTACCGTATCTTCTCATCGAGTTTTTCCACTTTGGCTTAACTTCTAGGGGCATGGTAGCTTCTCATCAAATCTTGCCTCTTGGGCTCGACTTCTAGGAGTCAGATATCTTCCCATCAAGTTTTGTCACTTTGGCTCGACTTCCAGGTCATGGTAGCTTCTCATTGAGTCTTGCCTTTTGAGTTTGACTTCCAGAAGTACCGTATCTTCCCATCAAATCTTGCTTTTTGGGCTCGACTTCTAGGGGCATGGTAGCTTCTCATCTAGTCTTCATCTTGGGCTAGATTTCTAGGAGTAAAGTATATTCCCATCAAGTCTTGCCTCTTGGGCTTTACTTTCAGGGGCATGGTAGCTTCTCATCGTGTCCTACCTCTTGGGCTCGACTTCCAAGAGTGTCATAAATTTGTATCGAGTCTTGTCTCTTGAGCTCAACTTCCAGAGGCATGAATGAGGATCTTGTCTGTCGCTTGCCCTCAAGGGGACTTTTGACACAAAGATCTTTCATAGGGAAATAAGAGAAATTCAATGAAATGACAATTTAAAGCAGCATGAAAAATTTTACTAAAATAAAATTAAGAGTATAAGCCCGTCTTTTACTCAAATAAGATAATTTGTACTTTGAATTCTCATTCGATAACTCTAATGATTCTCTTCGAGTTCCCCTCATCTTGTTCTTATATATAGAAACTCAGATGACATTGGTTTATCAGACATTCAATTTCTTCATTTAATTGAAAACATCTTTATGCCGAATGTTCTATTGCACGGTGGAAATGATAATATTGAGACTGGTTTCCATCATTTGAATTTCTTAATGACCTTGGCCACTTGATGACGGTTAGAATGTTGACAAGCGACGTGTTGAGTGGTCTGTATTCTTTT